TCTACTTCTATTTCAGATATAAGTTACTGGAGAATTCTGTATTTCATCTTAATAAATATGGTCAGCTACTTATGTGCTCAGTGATATCTGGAAAGGATTATTTTATGCATCTGTTAATTATCTTAATGGTTCCTTTTGTTTGATTAAAATGGGGTCTCACTCTATTCCAGGATAACCTGGAACTTGCTGTGTAGCTCAGGCTAGCCTTAAGGGCATGACAGTCCTCCCACCTTATGCTCACAAGTGTGGAACTGTACACGGGAGCCACCATGAGCAACTTGTTTCTTTCATTAATTTATAGTTTTTATCATACTTGCTTACATATTTTCATTTCTTGGATTTACTAATGTGATTTTTTCAGATTTCTGACATCTGAATGCTTAGTTCAATGGGTTTTCTTTAAAATTTTTAAAATGTCATTTATTATTTTTATTTTATGTGTATTAGTGTGTTGCCTGCATGTAAGTGCACCCATGTGCAGTGCCCGTGGAGGTCAGAAGAGGGCTACAGATTCCCCGGGGAACTGGAGTCATGGATGGCTGTTAGCTTCCATGTGGGTGCTGGGAATTGAAACTGGGTGTTCTGCAAGAGCAGCCAGTGTTCCTATCTGATCAGCCATCTCTCTAGCAGTGTGTGCATTTTTGTAGGCATGTTCATACTGTAGCCTGTGTGGAAGCCAGAGAGGGACACACAGGAGAGGACAGCTGCAGGAGCCAATTCTCTGTTTTTACGAAGTAGACTCTGGAGACTGAACTCAGGCTGTCAGCCTTGGCAGCAAATCCTTTTCCTGCTGACACTTCCTGCTGTCCTAGCCTAGTGGATTTTCAAGTCACCTTCACTGAATGGAAATTTTGAGTTCTTGACCAACTCTAGTAATTAAGGTGAGATAGACTTCTGTTACTTGTCATAGCCAGCACTGTAGAGTAAGCTGACTGTATGTATGTGGTACTAGGATTTAAAAAAAAAAAATCGTCAACAGGGGAAGGAATAAGATTTCTCATGCAGCATATGGTAATTAACACAGAAAGCCACAACTGGAAAAATGTAGAAAATGGGAGACTTCAGAGTGCATGCCCCTGGCTAGGACTCCTGTATTAAACCTCACCCACCCAATGCTCAGGGACCATTGCCGAAGAGGGGTCAGAGAGGTTTTTAAGAGATGGGGGTGGTGGATGACCACAAGGAAACAGAGTCATGTGGACTTCTGGGACTTGCTCATATGAACTTGTAGC